AAGCCTCATTCATCACCCTTGTTTAGTGACTGCCTGGTACAGGGACAAAGATGATCAGGGGACTGGAGGCTAAAACATATAAGGAACGGTTGCTGGAATTGGGCATGTCTAGTTTAACGAAGAGAAGGACGAGGGGGGACATGATAGCAGTCTTCCAATATCTCAGGGGCTGCCCCAAAGAAGAGGGAGTCAAGCTATTCTCCAAAGCGCCTGAAGGCAGGACAAGAAGCAACGGATGGAAATTTATGAAGGAGAAAAGCAACCTAGAACTAAGGAGAAACTTCCTGACAGTTAGAACAATTAACCAGTGGAACAACCTGCCTCCAGAAGCAGTGAATGCTCCAACACTGGAAGTTTTTAAGAAGAAACTGGACAGCCATTTGTCCGAAATGGTATAGGGTTTCCTGCCTGAGCAGGGGGTTATTATTATTATTATTGCTGTTGTTGTTGTTGTTGTTGTTACAACAGTGATGAAAAAGTAACTTTGCTAACAAGTCCTCTCATTTATGACTTTTTCAGGTCTGTAAAGCAAAAAAAAAACCCCAAACCCTAAGTAGTAACACATTTGTATTTTGCTTACTTTAATACTTTACTTAAGTATTAACACGCTTGTATTTCCTCCTATCTATCTCATTCCAAAATTAGACTATGTACTGTGTTTTATCTTATCGATACGTTTTATTTTGTTGATCACGTCACAGGACTGATCAATCAATGAACTACTACTATTTCTACAAGTGTAGTTGCGGTACTATTTAGCGATCATTGTAGATTTTAGAAAGAGCCGGCATAGCCATACTCCACTCTGTATCAAGACTGCAGCTGTGGAGTTGGTCAACCCTATTAAGTATCTGGGGGTGCAGGTAACTAACAATCTGACTTGGTTTCTCCACACATCATCCTTAGTGAAGTGTGCAAACCAGTGTTTGCATTTCTTGCATCAGTTGAGGAGAGCACATCTTTCTCCTTCTGTCCTGGCCACTTTTTACCGAGGCACGATTGAGAGCATCTTAACAAACTGCATCACTGTCTGGTTTGGTGGTAGCAGTGCCTCAGATAGAGGGTCCATACAGAGAGTGATAAGGATAACTGAGAAATGATAGAGGAAGCCATTATTCAGAATACTGCTTATAAGAGCTGCGTACTTAGACCTCAGAGATTGTTAGAGACCCCACACACACACTTTACGGTCTGTTTCTGTTGCTCCCCTCTGGGAGGAGGTTTGGAAGTATTTATAGCAGGACTACTAGATTCTGTAATAGCTTTGTTCCCTATGCCATCCGTCTGGTAATCTCGCAAGACTCCTTTTTCTTGCCATGTATATGTATACATCCAAACTAGAGTGTTGTTTCTCTGGGCCACATATGTGTGTGTATGAGAGTATGTGCAAAATTTATTTTATTTGATGTTTTTTTTTGTTATGTTTATGCAGTGTATCTTGGAAGTGGTTACCCTTTGAGAGCTGTATGCAACGAAATCTCATTCTAACATATGCTGATCAGTGTACATTTAAAGTGACAAAGTTATTATTCTATTCTATTTATCAATCAATCAACTACTACTACATCTACAAGTGCAGTTGCAGTACTTATTTAGCGACTGCTTCACTTAATGACCAAGTTGCCGGCTAAATGAGAGCTACCTGTAATAGCGCAATGCGAATGAGTTTCCAATGGAAGAGCCTGCCTTGGTAGACGAAAGAGAATTCCTTTAGGTTTCAGTTGGGATGTGCAAAGAGCATAATTAGTGTCAACCAATGAACGTTTCCGAACAAATCAGGTGAACTTTAAAACCCTGAGAAAGAGACGCGATACCTGATTCGTCCCCCGAAGGACACAGGTTTCTCCAGTTCAATGAGGGAGATATCGTAGTCGTAGAATTCTTGGATGCCCTGAGCTGTCTTGGCTCGAATGTTGTATAATTCATGGTCGATCCGTCTCTTTATCTTTATCCTGATTTCTCCTCCTGCCAAGGGGAGAAAGAATCAGAGATCCTCCATTTTCTTTTTCTACTGTAAAACACTGCATTGAGGAGCTTGGCTGTTTTCTTGCAGACGTTTCATTAACCCAAACTAGATAACCTCATCAGCACTTGAACTACTCGTTACGGACTAACAGTGCTGGTTACCTAGTTTGGGTAATGAAATGTCTGCAAGAAACCATCCAAGCTCAGAGAACACCAAGGACCCCTCCTTTCAAATCTGAGCTACCAGTAGTTTCATCTTTATTGGTAAACGTTACATTGTTGTCAGGAAAAATGGCCTCCCTCTTTTCCTATCATTTCTGGGGGATGACGAGAAAACAGCCAGCATCAATCTGCCAGGGATTTATTTGGTCACAAAGATACCTCAACTTTCCAGTAGAAGAGAATAGCTATACCACAGGGTTGAACTGTGGGGTGGTTGGTGTTCTCTGAGCTTAGGGTTTCCTGCCTGAGCAGGGGGTTGGACTAGATGACCTCCAAGGTCCCTTCCAACTTTATCATTATTATTATCATTATCATTATCATTATCATTATCATTATCATTATCATTATCATTATCATTATTATTATTATTATTATTATTATTATTATTATTATTATTATTATGTGCTCCATATATCTTAGCCTTCTTCATAGAAGGAAACTTCCACCGTGGATGAACTACAGGTCTCTGCTTTGCATACAGTAGATGCAAGACTTGCATTCCTTGTTAGGAATGTCAGCTCACAAAAAAAGAGCAAGCCTTTGAGCTGATGGGCCAAAGATGGACTCCTCACTGCATTATAGTGATCTGAGGGACAAGCTCTACATTCCAATTAATGCAGATGTGCCTCTGTGCATTACCAGGTGTTGGTTTCTTGGTGTCCATTTTTTGTCTCCTGTCCCTTTCGGTGAAGAACAGTAGTTCAATAGACTGCAATTTTGATTATTAGTGAGAAAATATCAACCGTGATTCTCCACCGCTTACCTCTACGTATACCATGGGTTTGTGTGAATGGTATTGTATTTGATTAACAAATCATGGTTAAAATTATGGTAGAAAAAAGAAAGCTCACTAGATAACCTCTGAGATCCTCCCACTATTAAACCATCATTAAACCATCATTAGATAGCCACCACTTGTCCTTTGAGGTAGGTCAGGTGAGGGGAAAAAAACATTGGAAGAATCCAGGAGTGCTACTTTATCATTGCAAAGGAGTGTTTCTCAACTTTGTCAACTTTAAGATGGGTAGACTTCAACGCCCAGAATTCCCCAGCCAGCAGATATGGAAGAATGCTGGCATAATGGCTGGAGAAATTCTGGGCGTTGAAGTCCATCCACTTTAAAGTGCCCAGGTTGAAAAAATCCTGTTGTAGAATATAATCACAGAATCTTGAAAGCCCTTGCCATTTCTTATATGAAAACACAATCACGGTGGGGTTATTATTCTAAGTCCCCTTCTCGTGTCTCCCCTTTTCCCAGGACTCAGTTGCGTTTCATTTTTTTTCCCTTGAGGGCTCCTACGGTATCTATTTTCATCAAGGTGTTCTCCACCTATCCCATTCTGTGTGTGTGATTGTGTATCAGCAAAACTAAAGAAAATGAAACAGAAGGCAAGCCTTGAGTCATTCATCTCCTGACTAACCAGGAGCTTTGTCGAATCAGGCAGGTAAACATTCAGATGGACTTTGCCACAAGGAAGCAATTACTGATTACCTCTATAATTACCATTCTCTTTTTCCATTGGCATGTAAGCACTTTCCACTGAATTGAGGCTACACTGGGTTTTGCAGGATGAGATGTATTAGAAATGTGTGTGTGTGGTGGGGAGAGACAGGATTCTGGTGGTTTTTATGAGGTAAAATGAACCTTAAGTCTTGACCAGAAGGTCTCAAATGAGCCTGAAGGTTTGAATTAAGCTGCCCAGTGTCACTTTAGATAGTGAGATGGGTAACATATAAATTTAATAAACAAACCAACAAACAAATATAATCCCCTGACTCTAAAAATGCAAAAAAAAGGGTGGCTGGGTGTGGAATAGTTGATCCTATCTACCCTAGGTAGGTTCCAAGGCCCACAGAATACAGGTGGTCCTTGACTTACAACAGTTCATTTAGTGACCGTTCAAAGTTGCAACAGCATTGAAAAAAGTGACTTTTGACCGTTTTTTTACATTTATAGCCATTGCAGCATCCCCATGCTCATGTGATCAAAATTCAGATGCTTGGCAACTGCCTCATATTTATGACGGTTGCAGTGTCCCGGAATCACATGATTACCTTTTGTGACCTTCTGACAAACGAAGTCAATGGGGAAGCAAGATTCACTTAAACTACCATGTGGCTAACTTAACAACTGAAGTGATTCCCTTAACAACTGTGGCAAGAAAGTCGTAAAATGAGGCAAAACTCACTTAACAACTGTGTCGCTTAGCAGCAAAAAATTTGGGCTCAATCGAGGACTACCTGTATAGGAATGGAAGGCTGAATGTGATGCATGCGATGCATGGGCTGTGTTTTTTAAATCCCTAAAAACTAATAGCAAATCCACTATTGTGTCTATACCAAGGGTAGGCAACCTTGGCTCTTTTATGACTCGTGGATTTCAACTCCCAGAATTCCTGAGCCAGCATGGCTGGCTCAGGAATTCTGGGAGTTGAAGTCCACGAGTCATAAAAGAGCCAAGGTTGCCTACCCCTGGTCTATACACTGATAGTTCAGTGGAACTAGGATAGTTTGCTGCCTGGAAAAAACAGACAATACATAGTGTCTTATTTCACTTGATTTATAGAAGCCAACCAGATTGGCAATTGGAACTTACTTTAACACTGGCTACCACAAGCGATCCAGCTATAATGTAAGTGTTGCCCAATTGTCAGAACCCATATTCTAAGGGGACTCCTTTCTTGCTTTAAACCCAAACTCTGTTCTCTCTATACTTCTGGGTTCTGCCATGCTCCTGGAGGGGAGGGGGGGAAAGCACTGCGGGGTATTGCTATATTTTCCTCTGTCACTACACGTGAATCTAGCATTTCATACTGGAATGGATTTTTCTGAAATTCTATCCCCCGACTAAATGCAGGAAAACAATGCCTCAGAATCACTGAAGAAGGGAAGACCACACAACTATGCTAGAACCACGATAGAATGCATGCTTTTTTTAAAAAAAATGTAGCATCTTACCTAGAACCACAATCCAATTAGACGTATTTTTCAAGTGGTTGAAGCAGTGAGCAGCTGTTAGAACCCAGGTACTGGAAATCAAGGCACCTCGACAAGTAGAATCCATATGATGCTAGAGCAAAATTTAAATTCAACATACGGTTAACGCCCCAGAATTATGTCCTAGGTTAGAGGTCCCCAACTCCCGGGCTGTGGCCCACTACCGGGCCACGGCCTGTTCAAAACCAAGCCAAAGGAGAAATGGCAAGCACTTGGCACAAAGCTCCACTCACGTGAGCAGAGGGAGCTTGAACTCGCACGAATGGAGCTCCGTGCATGAGCACCTTCTGCTCACATGAGTGGAGCTTTGTGAGTGAGCAACAGGCACTTTCACACGAGTGGAGGGTGTGCACCTGCACCGCTCGCACAAATGGAGCTGTGCACACATACATGAGTCTGCCACTCACTCGCCCGCCCGCCCCAGGCTGGGCCACCAAGCTGGAAAGATTGGGGGCCGCTGTTCTAGGTCATCCTTCCTCGACTGAGGGGCTCTCCAGATTCCCATCCTTTAACCATTCAACGGGACCAAATATCAGGGATAAAACAAGTTAATTGCAGGTGGGGCCCACATTCCTGTTAGCCCCTACAGAAATCTGGGAAGAGGAAAGAGACCACAGAGACTTGGGTGGGTGATGGTGGAGAAGAATAGTCTGTACTCACTGGGTTTTGGAGACGCACGTGCCACGGATTCTTCTGATCCCATCTAGCATTGTCCGAGTAGTTTGCTAAACCACAAATGTCCTCCAAATCTCTAGGATCTAAGATAGTTAGAAAGCTAAAGAATCTGGGGGAAAACTGATCATCATCAATCTTGCCACTTGCCCCCCTTGGTTGTATGTTCTTTCTACACAGACTTTCAAGATCTATCACTCTTTGAGCACACCAACACAAATGCATCTTTTGTCCAAAGGCCCCCATTGGCCTTGTTTAAGTGGCAAAATTTTTCATGTTACCAGAAATGAGGTTGTGATATTAACTTTGATATGGGGAAAATCAAACTATGTTATTTTGATAATCTCAATCTCTCTCTCTCTCTCTCTCTCTCTCTCTCTCTCTCTCTCTCTCTCTCTCTCTGTGTGTGTGTGTGTGTGTGTGTGTGTGTATGTGCGTGCGCACACACACGGCCTTGAGTCAGTATCAATTCTTGGCAACTACCTGCTCTCTGCAGATTTCTTGGAGATATTTTTCAGATGTGATTTGCCATTGCCTGCTTCTTAGGGCTGAGAGAAATAGACTGGCCCAAGTGTCATGTGTCTGATTAACGAAACACTTAAAAGGACTTTCAGGCATATTTTTCCTAAAAGCATTTATTAAGGTTACAGAGACGTCAGTACAGCATGGTGGAAATGCTTAGGTCTGGCTTCTCTTCCGTTATGCATAACATTCCAAGCATTTCCCACTCCCTTATTGTAGGGTCATGGTTCACATCTTCCAATCAACTTGGAAGATGTGATTTACTTCCGGTTTCTTTCTCCCTCCCAGGCTATCCTTATGCTCCTCCCTCTTTCCCAGTTGCTGGTTTAACTATATAAATACCAGACAGTTCTGCATATTGTCAAAGCAAGAATATACAGTATTTGCAGCGTTGACACCAAGCTCACCCAGCTGAGTTCATACCCCAGGTAGAACTAAAATTCACAGTCTCTTAGTTTCTAGCCTGGTGCCTTAACCAGTGCACCAAACTGGCTCTCTTATTTTACATTTACATGATGCATTTCCAGCACTGCAAAAAGCAGGTTTCGTTTCTATTT